TTTTTTTTTTTTTCTTTTTCATTTGTGTGTGTCGGTCCTGGGGCTTGAACTCTGGGCCTGAGTCCTGTCCCTGAGCTCTTCAGCTCAAGGCCAGTGCTCTAGCACTTGAGCCACAGTGCCACTTCCGGTTTTCTTTTCTTTCTTTCTTTCTTTTTTTTTGTCAGCCGTGGGGCTTGACCTCAGAGCTTTTGGGCACCATCCCTCAGCTCTTCAGCTCAAGGCGAGCGCTCTACCGCTTGAGCCACAGCGCCACTTCCGGTTTTCTAGTGCTTTAACGGAGATTATGTCTCCTGGACTTTCCTGCCAAGGCTGTCTTTGAATCGTGATCCTCGGATCTCAGCCTCCTGAGTAGCTAGGATTACAGGTGTGAGCCACCGGCACCTGGTTCCACTTGGCTCCACTTCCGGTTTTCTGAGTGGTTTATTGTAGATAAGAGTTTCCCAGATTTTTCTACCTGGGCTAGCTTTGAACCATGATCCTCAGATCTCAGCCTCCTGAGTAGCTGGGATTATAGATGTGAGCCACTGGGCCCAGCCAGCTTTATATTCTTATTTAAGAAAAACTTGCATTTTATTCTTAAAAATTACAAATGGGTTGGCTGGAAAAGTGGCTCAGAGTAGAGTGCTTGCCTTGCATGCATGAGGCCCTGGGTTTGATTCCTTATAACCACATAAGCAGAAAAGCCGGAAGTGGTGCTATGGCTCAAGTGGTATGATCCTCAGATCTCAGCTTCCTGAGTAGGATAACAGATGTTAGCCACTGCTACTTGGCTTCAGCCCAAGATTTTAAAATTATTTCTATTCTATTTTAGGTTTAATAACCTATTTTTAGAGTGTAAAAATTGCTTAACAATTGCTTAAAAAATAGTCGTGCTTGAGTTATCCTCCCAGTCTTCCTAAAACTTGGAGATAAAGAGTCTCTAGCTTTGGGCTGGGAAGGTGGCTCAGAGGTAGAGTATTTGCCTTACAAGCATGAGGCCCTGGGTTTGATTCCTCAACACCACATAAACAGAAAAAGCCAGAAGTGGCGCTGTGTCTCAATTGGTAGAGCAGTAGCCTTGAACTGAAGAGCTTAGGGACAGTACCCAGGCCCAGAGTTCAGACACATTGACTGACAAAAAAAAAAGTCTCTAGCTTTGTCTCTGTGGGCTGCTTTGAACTATAATCCTCTGATTTTAGCCTCCCCTATAGCTAAGTTCTTGGCCCTCAGCCTTTTTGAGATTCATTTCAGGTAAGTGTTACAGAAAGGTTAAGGAGGGGCTGGCAAGGTGACTCAGTGGTAGAGTGCTTTCCTTGAATGCATGAGGTCCTAGGTTTGATTCCTCAGCACCACGTAAGCAGAAAAAGCCGGAAGTGGGGCTGAGGCTCAAGTGGTAGAGCGCTAGTCTACAGTTGAAGAGCTGAGGGACAGCGCCCAGGCCTGGAGTTCAGGCCCCACAACCGACAAAAAAAAAAAAAAAAGGTTAAGGATAGTTTAGTAAATATTATGTTTAGGAAGTTAATGGGGTGCCAGTGGTTTATGTTTAGGAAGTTAATGGGGTGCCAGTGGTTCATGCCTATAATCCTATGTATAATTCTAGTGATCTCAGGATCGCAGTTTGAAGCCAGCCTGGCCAGGAAACTTCTTTTTTTTTTTTTTTTTGGTGGTTGGGGGCTTGAACTCTGGGCCTGAACACTGTCCATCAGTTCTTCAGCTCAAGCCTAGCCACCTACAACTTGAGCCACCATGCCACTTCTGATTTTCTGAGTGGTTTATTGGAGCTAAGTCTCATGGAGTTTCCTCCCTGGGCTGGCTTTGAAATGTGATCCTCAGATCTCAGCCTCCTAAGCAGCTAGGATTATAGGTGGGAGCCACAGATGCCCAGTTTCTTCTCCTGCCCCCGCCCCAGCTAGGCTCTACCACTAAGCCACCTTTCCAGCCCCCCCCCCCCCGAGTCTCTTATCTCCAACTAACCACCAAAAAGTTAGAAGTGGAGCTGTGAGTCAAATGGTAAAGAACTAGCCTTGAAGCCTGGTGCTGGTGGCTCATGCCTGTAATCCTAACTACTTAGGACGCTGAGATCTGAGGATAAAAAAGTCCGGAAGACTACCAATTAACTACCAAACTGGAAGTGATTTTGTGACTCAAAGTGGTAAAGTGCTAGCCGTGAAGGAACAGCTTCCAGACACTGAGTTCAAGCCCCACAGCCACCAAAAACAAAAATGCGAAAAAACCCCAGAACTAGCCTTGAGCAAAGAAAGCCCAAGGAGAGTGCCCAGGCCCTGAATTTAAGCCTGTGGACCCCCCCCAAAAAGGAGAGTAATATAATACTGGGGTGCAAATATTTCTTCCAATGGAAAACATACTTGTTAATAAGAACTATTTAAAAAGTCATGTTGTAACCTTTCTCCCATATTTATATTATATATAATATAAATTTTCTAAGAAGTATTTTAAAAACATTTTAGAAAATAATTGATATGCAATAATAATATGTAGTAATAATGTTGACTTTATTTTTTTCCAGCTATGGCCGTGTGGAAAGTGTCAAAATTCTCCCCAAGAGGGGCTCTGAAGGAGGAGTGGCCGCCTTTGTGGATTTTGTGGACATTAAAAGTGCACAGAAAGCTCACAACTCAGTCAACAAAATGGGAGATAGAGACCTCCGCACGGATTACAATGAACCAGGCACTATTCCAAGTGCTGCTCGGGGATTGGATGATACAGTTTCCATAGCATCTCGTAGTAGAGAGGTTTCTGGGTTCAGAGGAGGTGGTGGAGGGCCTGCTTATGGCCCCCCACCATCACTTCATGCACGAGAAGGACGTTATGAGCGGAGACTTGATGGGTAAGTTCCAAGGTTTCTGTAGGCAGGTGTCTTGTATTTGATGTGGTGAGAACCAGAAACTCATATCTAGGGGCCCCAGATGGATTTAAAGTTTTGGGCATTCTCAATGTTTCCTATTTTGGGTTGGAAACAGAAGTGCTTTCTGTCCCAGTGGCTGGTGTCTTACGGAATCCTAGAGGATTATTTTCTTCAGTGGATTGGATTATCTACTCCTGAGCTATAACATGATGGAAGATTTCCTGTGGCAGTATCATTTTTGGAGTTATTTGTCTTCTAGAATTAATTACTCCTTTTGGATATCAAGGCCTTCTGTGGATATATATATATATATATATACACCTTCTACCTGATGGAGCTATTTGGCTACAGGTTTCCTGGTCCTGCTATTTGGAATATTTCTGGAATATTAGAGCTGACAGATCCTTTTAGAAGTCAATACCTGCTTCTTGGTTTTCACTACACGAAGTCTACAAATTGGATTGTCGCGAAATAATCTAGCAGACCATAATGATTCAGCATTTGGATTCTACAAACAATACTTTAACATGGAAATATGTACTTGGATGAGGAAGAGCAAAGGCAGTGTTTGAGTTTCCATTTTGGATCTACCCGAGTTCTGTGTTGGAATTATACTTCTTGGCTGAATGGGGGAAAGTTGAGACAATGGACATTCATTATTGCTGGAATATAGCTACTTTTTCCTACATGCTGGAATGTATGGGATGTCATGCTCTCAAGACTCCAATTAGCCCAGGGAAAGAGGATTACTATGTCATTCTTAAGCAAGTTGGGTCCAGAGAACTTTAGTTTTGAAAGCATGGTGATTATCAGTTGTGGATACAGCTGTTAAAACTGACTGGGTTGGATGGCTACAAAGGCAAACAATTGGCGAGCACTCATACTTTCTTCATCTGTTGGAATTTTAAAGGATATTTCCTTTTCTTGCCAGCTGCCTGATCAATACTTAGGGCTGGATATTTATGAATGTGGATCAATTTATAATGTCTACTATCTCAAGAAAGAAGTCTGGGGGTTTGAGAGTTACAGTTTGTTTGGGACTACTTGCTTCCAGTGGAATTATTTTGTCTGGTCACTAAGATTTTTTTTTTTCTTGTGGTTCATCTAAATATCATTTTGACACCCTTGCCCATTAAGAAGGTGGATTACCCCTGTAAGAGGGGCCAAAATTGGGGAAGTTATGTTCACAATTCTCTCCCTAGATTTAATTGGGATTATAGGTCGTGTTTCCACAGTTGGAAAAGGTTGGTATGTCCTGACCTGTGTATTTAGTCCCTCTCCTAACCTAAGTCGAACTCTCTTTCCCCACTAACTCTAGAAATGTTTAGTACTAATAGATGAGTCAAAGAATAGCCATTAGATTCAGCTATACTAGCTCTTGTGCCTGCCTTCTGTACCTTCCTAATGGATAAGAATGTTGCATATTTACAGAATAGTAGTAGTAGCAGTAATTCTAGAGCTTTTGCCTTTTTTTTGCTTTTGTTATACCATTAATAATGGCTTTCACTGATTAAACATTTCATAGGGTACTAAATGAATTATTTATGAAGTTTTCTCCTAAGTTTCAAAGGAAACCTTGTTAGACATTGAAGTATCCAAATTTCAGAATTATAGCAAAGCGTGAAGGAGAAAATCATTTGGGTATGATTTTTGTTTTTTTAGGGGGTAGAGGGTTAGGTCAGTTGTTTGTTACAATAGCAGTAGAAAAAAAGAAAAATAGCCTAGTAAAGTGGGATTGTGGTGTAGTAAAGTGATGGGTAAAAAGAAATGTTAGAGATTTCCCATTCTTGGAGAAGACTGGGAAAATAGTATTGCATTTTACAGAATTTTTCCATATACCTTTTGTTGGAGAGACTTAAATTCTTTATCCCAATTTCTTTTTAAAAGTGTTTTTCTTTTTAGGGGTGGTATTGAGATTTGAACCCCAGGCTTCATGCTTGCTAGACGCGTGCTCTCCTGTCTTGAGCCGCAAGCTCCAGATCTTTTTGCTCTGGTTATTTTTGAGATAGAGTCTTGCCCAAACCTGTAGCCTGGAACATGAGCCTACTATTTATGCTTCCTTTCATAGCAGAGGTTATAGATTTGTACCACCATGGCCTACCTTTTCTGTTGAGGTGGGATCTTACAAACTCTTTTTGCTAGGGCTGACCTGGAGCCTTTCTTCATGCATCTGGGATGACAGGTGTGAGCCACTGGCTTGATTTCCTTAATTCTTTTCTATAGAAGATTTATACAAGATGAAGTTGAATAAAAAAATCCAAGTGATTTGTCTTTTAAGAAATCAGCTGGGTGCTGGTGTCTTACTCCTGTAATCCTGGCTACTCAGGAGACTGAGATCTGAGGATTGCGATTCAAAGCCAGCCTGGGCAGGAAACTCTATGAGACTCTTAACTCCAATTAAACACCAGAAAACTGGAAGTGGCAGTGTGACTCAAGTTATAGAGTATGTGCCTTGAGCTGAACAGCTACAGTGCCCAGGCCCAGAGTTCAAGCCCCATGACTGACCAAAAAAAAAAAAAAAAAGCATGAACTGAATTCCAGTTCTGTGTAAAAATGGAGAACTTAGTTTCTTATATAAATAGAATTAGTTTTTAACATTAGCACATAATTGCAAATGTTATTATAATGGAATAGTTTTTATTCTCCAAGATTGGTGGCCATTGATATCCTAGTAAAAAAATTCTGAAGGATTGGGCATATGGCTCAGCAGTGGAGCGCTTGCCTAGAATGTGCGAGAGGCCCTGGGTTGGATCCCCAGCACTGGGAAGGTAGGATGTTGAGGGGTACTAATAAGTTAAATCATTGCTAAATACTGCAGAGTTAATTTTTATCATATTAAGTATCTATATTAACATGTTGAATCATGACATCATAGATGGTTTAAAAATTACAAGGATAGCACAAGAAGATAACTTTTACTCTTAGGTCAATTTGCATAGAATAACACATAATAACCAGTATTTTTTATCTCACGTGTTCTTAAGATTTTGTTTTTATTATTAAACATTATTTGGGCAATTTAAGCAGTCCAGTAATTAAGAAAAAATTAATCAAAGCAGTCTCAGCTGGGGATGCTGCGGCAGAAGTGCAAATTCAAGGCAGCTTAGGTTACAGAGCACAGCCCTGTCTCAAAACAAAACAAAGCCAGGTATTGGTGGCTCACACCTGTAATCCTAGCTGCTCAGGAGGCTGAGATCTGAGGATCAGTGTTCAAAGCCAGCCCAGCCAGGAAACTCTGTGAAACTCTTATCTCCAGTTAATCACCAGAAAACTGGAAGTGATTCTGTGGCTCAAGTGGTAGAGCATTCACCTTGAGCTGAAGAGCACCCAGGCCCAGAGTTCAAGCCCCATGACCACAAAATAAAACAAAAGAAAAGTTACTGAAAGCTGGGCGCCCTTGGCTCACACTTTGTAACCCTAGCTTCTCAAGAGGTGGAGATCTGAGAATTGTAGTTCAAAGCCAGCCCAGCTAGGAAAGCCCATTTGAGACTGTTCTCTATAATTAACCACCAAAAGCTGGAAGTGAACTGTGGTTTAACTGGTAGAGGCTAGTTTTGAGCTTAAAAGGTCATGAACAGTAGATGCTCCTTGAGTTAAAGCCCCAGGAGTTGTGTGTGTGTGTTTGTGCGTGCGTGCGCGCATGTGCTTGTACGTGTTTGCACACAGAAATGATTGAGGAAAAAGGAAAAAGTTGAACTTGCTTTCTTTTGACATTTCTTTTATCTGTAGAATGTGCATTGCATCCAGCTTTCATGTCTTTTGTCTAAATGTAGTGTGCAAATATGGCTGAAAATATTTGCAAGTAAATACAGGTTCTATTTAGATGAAAGTATAAAAAACTTCCATTTTAAAAAAGATGGTATAGCTGGATATGGTTGTGCATGTCAGTATTTATAGTACTTTGGAGGCTGAGGAAGTAGGATCATGAGTTTATGGCCAGCCTGGACTACATAGCAAGAATCTGATATGAGAGAGAGAAAGAGAGAGATTTTGTTGTGTGCATGTGTGTGTTTGTGTGTACAAGCCAGAAAATCTGTAAGAAACATGTGAGCTGCAGAACATCAGTCATGAAAGCCTGATATACAAGTAAAATAATGATCACTCAGCTGTGAAAATAGTTTTGAGGGTGAAGTATAAATGTTAAGCTTGTTAGTATTTGCTTACTAAGGTTAATGCTGTTTAGAAAATAACTAGGTGCAAAGACAATTCTGAAGTGAATGTTTGCATGACTTGCTTTTAGTTTTACTTGCTCTATTCTGATTAAATATTTTTTCCCCCTCCTAAATGCAGGGCTTCAGATAACAGGGAGCGTGCTTATGAACATAGTGCCTATGGACACCATGAACGGGGGACGGGAGCATTTGATCGGACAAGACATTACGATCAGGATTACTATAGAGATCCTCGAGAGCGGACTTTACAACATGGGCTCTATTATACATCTCGGAGTCGAAGTCCAAACCGTTTTGATGCTCATGACCCCCGATATGAACCTAGGGCTCGGGAGCAGTTTACACTGCCCAGTGTGGTACACAGGGATATCTACAGGGATGATTTGACCCGGGAGGTACGAGGCAGAAGGCCAGAGCGGAATTACCAGCACAGCAGGAGTCGCTCACCACATTCATCCCAGTCTAGAAATCAGTCTCCTCAGAGACTGGCTAGCCAAGCGTCTAGACCCACCAGGTCCCCTAGCGGCAGCGGCTCTAGGAGTAGATCGTCTAGTAGTGACTCAATCAGCAGCAGCAGTAGTACCAGCAGTGACAGGTAGGTATTTTTTTCCTTATGTTATAACAGATATACATTCTCAAATTCTCAGTGATCTGTGGTAATGGTTTTTAACATAGTTATTATTTTTTTAAAAGTTGTTTTTAAAAAGTAATCTTGTGATATATATGTATATTGGATAAAAAAAAAACCTGAATAGCACTCAGCCAAGTAATTTGCAAATGCTGTTTCATCTTCTGTCGGGCAGGGAACCCCCCCCCTTTTTTTTTTTGAAAAGGGCCACTGGGATATTTATTTATGATACCATTGGATATTTATGACATCATTTTGGACCATTCAAAATTGTCAATCCTGGCAGACAGGCTCTGGGCAGCTGTGGAGAAACATATATGTCTAACACATCATATACTAAGTGATTTCACAGGCCTTAATACAACCTTTGGGCCAGACATTCCTTATCCTTAAGATGATCAACATTAAAATTGCCAAAAAGAAGAAAATGGTGACTTCAGCTGTGTGAGAGATCTTTTTTTGTTTTGGTTGATCGTGGGGCTTGAACTCCGGGCCTGGGTGCTGTCTCGGAGCTCTTCAGCTCAAGGCCAGAGCTCTACTACTTGAGCCACAGCACCACTTTCTAGTGCTGATAAGAGCTGGCTTTAAACTACGGTCCTCAGCCTCCTAAGTAGCTAGGATTAGGATTATAAGCAGGAGCCACTGGTGCCTGGCTATGAGACACACTGAAACTGTTGAAGTTGTTAAATTTTTTTTTAGGTGTGTACTACCAATTTACTGTTTTGGTTGAACATTGTAAAAGCTGTTTGGTTAAGTGTGTGTTGGTGAAATGTATTGTGGACACATTATCAGTGACTAAATCAATTTAGGTCATGTTTTAACAGGTATGGCAGCCAAATTTATAAATGCAAGTGGAAGATTTTCTTTAATTGCAAGTTGTGATGGCTGAGTCAACTTTTACTAGCTGGGAATTGTTTTTTTTTTTTTTAACAGAATTCTTCAGCTTATTAGGATTCTTTTTTTATTTTTAATTTTTTATTATGAAAATACTGTACAGAGGGGTTACAATTACATGGGCAAGGTAGTGAGTACATTTCTTATCAAGCATTGTAGCCTCCTCCTTTGTTTACCCTTCCCATCCCTTCCCAGCCTCTCCCCTCCCCACCAAAGTTGTAAAGTTCTGGGAATTGTTTTTTAAACCCAGGAGTGTTCTAAAGATAAAAAATGAGAGAGTAATCATAAGAAAGAGATTAGTACAGACTACTTTTACTAACCTTGGGACAGTTTACTTTTTTTTTTTTGGGCCGGTTGTGGGGTCTGAACTCTGGGCCTGGGTGCTGTCCCTCAGCTCTTCAGCTCAAGGCTAGCGCTCTACCACTTGAGCCACAGCGCCACTT